CAATCCCCCCCCCCCCCCCCCCAATACCCGTCACTCTATCAACTCGGATGTTTGCGAGATGAATTTCGACGAATGTTTCGATAAATATATATTATTAATTATTATTAATTATTATTGTTATTGTTGTTGTTGTTATTATTATTATTATTATTATTATTATTACACCATTATTATAATTATCGTTATTGTAATTATTATTTTTATTGCTATTATCATTATTATATTATCGAAAAATATTTGGGGCGAACTTTCATTCAACAATTTAATTTAAGATTGTCGAAGTATAACACAATGAATTAAAAAATAAATTTTTACCCAATTACTACAATTCGACCATTAAGTGCTATTTTTATCGTAATTAATTTATTTATTTGTTTTTGTTTGTTTGTTTGTTTGTTAATTTTTATCTATTATTTATTTATTTATTATTATTTTTTCTTTTTTATTAAGAATCTTGGAATTGAAATTCAACTCTATCCGAGCATTTTTAAATATATATTTCTTTTTCTCTATCTCTTTGCACTATATATCGCACGATTTTACCTCCGTTGGCAGTTAAAACACAAAACAACATTCTCTACTTAAACGGCTTTAAAACACGTTTGTCATCATTTTGGTGTTCTTTTGTTCTTTATTATTATTATTATTATTATTATTATTATTATTTGTTTATTTATTTGTTTGTTTGTTTGTTTGTTTTTTAATTCTTGTGGGTAGTTGACAAGGGACGAGGTTAAATTAGATATAAATATTCGTTAAAAAATTATCGAGCTCTACGCTTCTATGGCAATAATAAAATATTTGGAGACTCATTGAATGATAAATGCTTAGAACCTTGGATTTATTGACTGAATAGCAAAATATTATTTCTTATGATTGTGCGGAGGCAAAGCCGTTATTTTTTTAATTATTTTTGCTTTTGCTTTGTGGTCAACGTTGGCAGGTACTTTTGATCGCTCTGCTAAATTCTTCTCTATTTTATCTATGGAATACTATTATTTAAAATTTTATCTCTTTACTATCAATTATTTTTCACCTGAGCAATTTCTCTGTCTTTTCCGTTTTATTTTTATACACTTTCATTTATCCTATAACAAATTCTTCATATCGAAGCCGCCTTCTGTTTGCGTCATCGAATGTCGTAAATTTCTCACTTTGCAATTAAATACTTTTAATACTTACATTTCGCGAAATTATATATTATTTATAATATTGATTTTATTCTTTTGAAATTTACTCTCAGTTTGGAAAAGTAACACTTTTGTCGTATTGAACATCATTTTATTGTCCGATGTTTTTTCCCCTCTAGCTTAAGAATTTGGATCAAAAGTCACAAAGGAAACTGAAACGTTGCACTTTTCATCGCTATGTCGGCGCGATGCGATGCGTTAATATACGAAGTTGAGTTTTACTAATCTTTTTGCGAACGTGGGAAGACAATTTCAAATTTTTCGATTCCGATAAGCTCAGCGTGTGTGTGTGTGTGTGTGTGTGTGTGTGTGTCTCTCTCTCTCTCTCTCTCTCTGTCTTTTGTTTTTTTTCACGCACGCACACGCACGCACACAGCAAACAAACAGAATATGTTACTTTCGCATCGTTTAATCAATTTGAGAATCACTACTGACGTACTCAACTACGTGTCTCGTACATCCTTCTCACAATATCTATAGTTTCAACATCAATTTTTTATTAGAGCTACGCGGGGTAGCTACTAAAACTCGTAACTTCGTCATGTCGTCAAAAATAACTGAAAGATTTGAGGAATGCAAAAGCTTCGATCATATCAAAGCTATATTACCGAATGTGGCTTGAATGGAGTATTTATTTTCTTTCTTTCTTTTTGTTTTTTTTTTTGTTTTTTTTTTTGTTTTTGTTTTTGTTTTTGTTTTTCTTCTTATGTTTGTATATTTGTTTTTGATGGTGATTCCGTTCTTTAAAGCAGCTTCACGAAATCAATTTAATACTTACGCGCTGCTGTACATTACAGCAGCATTTTGTTTTTGTTTTGTTTTTGTTTTTTTGTTTTTGTTTTTGTTTTGTTTGTTAACAGTCTACTCAGTGCAGTCTGCTGCGTTTTAATTATTTATAATCTTTGCTCTTTACAGGAAAGAATAAAGCTTCATTGTTGCGCAGCTCTCTCCCTAATTAGAATTAATAACTCGCTTCGTGACCCGCGAGAATGTAGAGATCGGCGCCTTCGGTCTCGTTCAGTGTGCCAGTATGTACTAAGTGACTCTCCAGCATGACAACCCTAAACATTTCCCAATTGCCAGCATAAGTGTCATTAATGCAATCGCTAGTTCCGAGGATTTTGCGAAATTTCATACTTACTTGTCAGAGCCTAAAAGTCTGTACGTTCGACTCGGATCGCTGATTTCTTGCGTAACCTCGCTGTTCTTGAAACTACGACCTTGCATCCCGTGCTTATGAAAGGCAAGAACACTGTCCGGTAGAACGACTGAAATAAAAGTATCAATGACATTAGCATCGTAAGACAATGATAATTAATTATGTCGTATATTAAGTGTTTAGAAGACATTAGTGTGGCAAAAACTTTCAAAAAAGAGCATTAAAACGATGCATTGAGCGAAATTGCGTAAAAAGGATCTTATTACTTTTGCAGGCTGTGCCACTGATTGTCGTCACTGATGACGTAAGGAGAACCGACGTTTTACATATCAATTCATCATAATTTACGAGGAACTAAACGCTTTATGGCTTTGTGATTTAATAACGATTACACTATAAATTATTGTTTCTTTAATCGTTTGTGCATTGTTTTGTTTAGCTTAGTTTTCCAACGATTGTGAATCTGTGGCGAAATAATTGACGGCTTATAAGATTGTAATTATTCTGCGCCATGGATTGAGAAAATTTTAATACGCCATCGTCAAAAAGTTTTGATGCGGTAGTGTAGCTGCAAATATATTGAGTTGAAGAATAAGAAATCGATTTAGATGACATCGGCAGTGTTATAACGTTAATCCTTGAATTATCGAATTGAAATTAAATCTCCGTTTGAGATCAAATTTACGGCCGATGACAAAACGCACATACAAATACATGAGAAGTTAATTGATCTAATCTTTGCAATGTACATTGTTTGATATATGTCAAAATTATCGACATTCGCAACATTTACAAGTAATTTCTTCATTAGCAATAGTTTATTTGTGGAAACGTGTAATTGGTTTTTTTTTTTTTTTTTTTTTTTTGTTTTGAAAATTGACGAACCCTTGAACTTGCCTTCCTTTAATTTCATTAGCCTACGATCTATCAAAAGATTATTTTCTTTGATGAAAAAAATTACTTTCTCCCTACGATCGACAGATTTAAGATATTTTCATCATCGAGTCTGCAAACGTTTTGCAATAGAATTATCATACCTTTGGAATTATATAAATAAACGGATGGATTATCAAACGATAATTCAAGATTACAGATCCGAGTTTAATCGGAGAACTAAAAAATTACAATGAAACCGATTATACATAATTTTAACGCCGATACTTGTATAAAATATACTTACTTGTTGATTCAATTTGAAAATTAAATTGAAGCTCTGACATTTGTTTTTTACTAGTTCGTGGTTTCCCACCTAACGTCACTATTTTCACCGAATCTGCGGAGGAAACAAACAAACGATTAAGTACGCTTTATTTATTGAATACTTTGAAACACAAATGTTCACTCGCACTTACTATCGTAACAAATGAGAATGGCATCTTTTTCAAGCTGCGCTACGCTAACTACTTGAAGATTTTCTCTTCGTGGAATGACTGTTGCTGAAACGGCAAATTAATAACGATAAATATAAATATACGTGGACGATGCAATTACGTAATATAGTCGTAGGGCAAACGGGGCTAGTAATTACCGGAACCATCCATCTCCTCTAGTTCATCGCTGTGGAACCAACTGGCCCCCGAGTTCATGTTAATTAGGTCAAGCTTCAATTTAGTTTGATGAAAAGCTTGTTTCACCGAAACGCACACCATTGGGTATTCCATTTCGGGTGTTATTATCATTTCAAAGACGTTCAATGGCGACGGCAGTGGGCACTCAAAGTATTTCAACAGCATGAATTTATTCAACGGATCATACCATTGCATAAGGAAGATTCCAGCTGGCATCGCACCACACAAGTATTTGTATCTACGATGCAAAGAATTTTATACAATTTTAACATATTGATTATTCGTTAGTTGCTTGGAGCATAGTCGCAATTAATTTATCAGGGTGTACCCATTATAAGGATTCCGGCCGACGCAACACTTTGTGCAGCCTTTCGTGTCGGGCACCCGCGTCGTAAGCGCAAATTTTCTCGGCACTAATCGCTCCGGTATTTTATTCATGTGTAGAGAAAACCTATGTGTCTGTTTGCTTTGCATCGCTAGAAGATCGTGCCTATAAAGTTGCGGCGTTTTGCCTTAAAAAAAAAAAAAAAACAAAAAAACAAAAAAAAAAAAACAAAACAAAAAGAAAGCAAAAAGTTTAAAAATGACAATTATCCGATGCTGTCGAGTCAGTTACATTTAGGTCTGACGAATCTATTGATTACCTGACAATGACATTAGAACGTCCTTGATAACGTACATCCAAATTGTCCGCCTTGGATATAATTGATCGATTGCCGTTTCGTGCAGTTCATTTAAATTAAGGTTATAAATTCCTTCCTCCGCTGCAATTAGTAAATGCTGATCTCTCGTGTCTGGATGAATCCAACTGGCCGTACAGTGAATTCTTAAAGGGCATCCATTGAAAACCTAATTTTTAAGAATTTCGCTCTTTTACTTACTCTTCTACTTTACTACTACTACTACTACAACTACTACTACTACTACTACTACTACTACTACTACTACTACTACTACTACTACTACTACTACTACTACTACTACTACTACTACTACTACTACTACTACTACTACTACTACTACTACTACTACTACTACTACTACTACTACTACTACTACTACTACTACTACTACTACTACTACTACTACTACTACTACTACTACTACTACTACTACTACTACTACTACTACTACTACTACTACTACTACTACTACTACTACTACTACTACTACTACTACTACTATATCAGCTTTCCGTTACTATTATACCAGCTTTCCGTTGCTTTCCGTTGACTCATAACACTTGGGTCTAACCTTAGAGAAACAGGCTCCCATATGGACTTTGGGAGTCGGCGGCAGACCATTGGTGACTGGCCTGGGAGGCGTGTGTCTCTTCCTGTCCCTTCGCCTCGGCGGTACCGGTGGAGTATCGGAGAGTAAGTCTGGTCCAATGCCTTCCTCGCCGTTATCCGATGCTTCGTTTTCACCTGGAAAATGAGAGAGCCCGTCACGATTGGTCACGATAGAGTGATTCGACTTGAAAATGCGAAAATTTGTAAGCCACTTTATTGCCGCTGAGTTGCGTTTAATAAATGCAAAGAACGATTAATTCCATTATGTGGCGTGCACGAACACCTTTTATTTACTTTAGACTTAAGAGAGAAGAGAGAGAAAAGAGAGAAGAGAGAGAAGAGAAGAGAAGAGAAGAGAGAGAGACATGCATCGCTACAATATTCAATCTTATTTATCGAATTGACATTCGAATTTTTTTTTAATTATTAACCGTCTCGATTATTAACTTTTGTAATTCATTAGAGCGCTACGCATGATTAGCATTATGGTTAATTATTATTTATTAAGCAAGCGCGCATTCCACATTCGCAATACCAGGGCCAATTAAAAGCGCATTCGCTACTTGATGAAGAGGGCCAAAGTGGTCGCTCTTATTTGAAATCGAAGCGCAGTTGGCCCTTCTCGCACGTGGGCTTAGCGTGACTTAGGTTCGAGGAGGGAAAGCTCGAGCGGGCGTTGACATCCGGCGACAGCCACTGGATCCCGTAACATTGCTCGGCGTCGCGAATAATTTCATTAGAAGCGGTCGTGTTAAGAGCTTCGCGCCAATTTGGCGAGATCGTTCGAAAAACATTGGGTAACGAGCCCCAGCCGTGGTCCCGATGAGGAGCGCCGCTCCCAGTAGAAGACCGAGGAAGGACGCGGTATCGGCCAGTGGCGGAAAGTTGTCGAGCTGTACCAGCCTTATTTCGGGAGAAAGTTCGCTAGTGGAAGCCATAATAACGAAGCCAGGTTAAACAGCAGAAGCGGAGTCATGCGGGTGCGGGCAGTGTGGATTACCGTTGGGTCGGGGGCGGTGGGCCTGCTCCCGGCGTCCGCCGTTGTCCGAGAGGGAACGCTGCCGCTGTCCGTGGCTGCCGCCGGCTGAGCCGCCGAAGAGCTCCTCCATGGAGCTGTGGAGCCGGCGGCCGGTGCCCGGCTGCGACCCTGGCAACGAACAGCCCCGCACTGTCAGATCTCCTGACACTGTTCTCGGTTCTCTCTCTCTCTCTCTCTCTCTCTCTCTCTCTCTCTCTCTCTCTGTGTGTGTGTTTGTCTGTCTGTCGCCCCTCTCTCGACCCGTGTCGATCACCGCTCCCACCCGTTCCTCGCGACCACGACCCGCGTAGCTTACGGCAACGGAACTTGCGGACCGCGACTCCGATGTTCCAATGCTTTAGATGCCTGCCGCAAGCTCGATGGGTCGACTCTTGGTGACGGCGGCCACGCCTACCTCCAAGCGACGCGCCCGGGGTTATTTCTATTCACAGCTTCATTATCGTACCCCGTGCTAAGGACTCGTTTGGCTTGGTCAATATCAATTAGCTCCAATGCGTAGTTCACGCGGCCTTCGCAACAACGCTCCCCTCTCTATCCTTCTCTCATAAATAATACGACCAATTACCAATTACTTCGCGTTGCCGTTGGTTGCGCAAAATTCATAGACCGTTTTTGCCTTTGCATTTGCCTTTTTTCTCTTCTCTTCGTTATTCTTTTTCGGTATTGGAATACATCGATGGCAGTGTGAAGTAGAGGAGAAAAAGTTATATCGTCGCGATACCCTTAATAATCACTCTGTTTAAGTGCTTTTTTTTTTTAGGAAATTAGTTTTAAAAATTTGAAACGACTGGATTCTCTAGACCGCTGATCGCGGTGGCGAATAAAATTTCAATTTTTAAACTCTTCGGAAAATTATCGTTGACCTATCAACTGATTTTAATTTCCCTATTTCATCGAAAACGTCGAGTTTTCGTTTGGATTCATTCTGGCATTCGAATGTTCGCCACAAATGGTATTCCCGCGGAATGCAAAGTACGCCGTTAAAATTTTAAGACTAATTTGTACTGGAAGTATCGAGTAAATGAATGTATCGATATAGATAAAACTGCACTATTAATATCGTTATCGAATGCAAAAACTGTGGAGATTTGCACGAACTTTATTGTCGAAGTATGCATTCGATTAATTAACATTCATATTCGTTTCTTCGATATATTCAGAAAGGGTGTTTAATTAAAAAAAAAAAAAGAAATCCATTCGTGCACAAACGTGTTGTTCGTATAATCTAAATAATTTCTAAGCATTTAATCAAATATGAGGAACAGATGAACGAGGCTTAAAAAACCAAGTCGTAATGCAAACTTCGTTGAAGACTCCAAATGAATCTAATATAATGACAAACTTACCTCCATTACGTGGCCAAAAATTTTTAATTACTATTTGCACAAATAACTAATGATCTACAAGCTCTACGTTAATTTTCGATAAATCGATATATGCATTCTATATGAATTGGCAATACCTGTCAAATTCCCGTAGAAACCTCGATGAACCTCGCAGTCATTTGATGTCTCGCCAAGGGGCAATGTAGCTCTGAAAACAATTAGCTCATTAAATTGGATGATTGAGCATCGAATAGAGAGGGAGGGCAGATGAAAAAAAAATTATAAATAAATAAATAAATAAATAAATCAATATATATATATATATATATATATATATATATATATACACATATATATATACATATACATATAAAAGAGAAAAAAAAATAGGAAAAAAAAAAAACACACTGAAGAGAAATTAGTTCGTACTATTGTGCTTGTAAGATTAATTAAATTGAAAATACGAAAAGTCAAGCTACACTCTAATATTATGAGCATTTCGAGCTTCGATGGACACATTATTATCAAGAGTTCGCTTATTTTCTACTTACTGCAACGAATACAGCTGGTCACAATGCCCGGCAATTGCATTTCCCCTGAACATACGAAAGTATCTATTTTTACTCTTTATTTTTGTCGTTTGTTTGTTTGTTTGTTTGTTTGTTTGTTAGTTAGTTTGTTTGTTTGTCTGTTTGTTTTTTATTTTCTTTTTTTGTTTGTTTGTTTGTTTGTTTTTTTTTCTTCATTAAACTCATATAGCTCTTGTAATTACAGCAGCTATTTAATATTCACACTTTAATGCATTTGCGCGTGAGAAATGTTAACAAACAATTGTATTCCTTGCGCTACGTTACAGTATTTTATTATCTATTCTATCTGTATAAGCATCATATTTTCTCGTTTTTAAATCACTTAAATTTATATCTCTTATTACAAATCCTTATTAAAAAAAAAAAAAAAAATCTATATACATTTGAGAGAAATTGATGATTGATTGGTTATTATTCAAGTATACTTGTTGTTCTTCAATACCGAAGCTCGACGTACATGGTAATTCATTAGAATTTTATTAGAATTCGTTTTGTTAGGTACAATTACGTGTAAATAATGTCTGTATTATTAATACTTTGGTTACATTCTATTGAATCAAAGCAAAGGCTGAAGCTTCCAGTGCGAGTGAGGAGTAAAAACAAATAAAAAGCGGATAAAAAATTAAACGCAAAGGGCAAAAGAAACGTGGAGGAAAGTCGAGAGCGTTTTAGTATACTTCATGATTTCATGCAAAAATATTAATATATTCAGTCACTATATCGTTCACATTGGTACATCCTTCTTCTACATTTGACCGTTGGCAGGATTAATTAGTTAGATTAATTAATTTAATACCCATCTAATGCATTAAAGAGTCCAACAGCCAATATCAAAGTAGCATTGGGTTTTCTTGATTGAATATTCACAAGACCCGTTCCCCTTCAACGTGCTGAATATATCAAATTAAAATGAGGAACTTCGATATACATTAAATAAAAAGAAAAAAATTAAAAAAAAAAATGTGAAACTGGTTTTTTATAATTTACTTTAACAAGCGTGATGCAGCAGAGTGTTAAAGTTAGACTTGCGCGATTGCGAGTGCGAGGGAAAAGGTTACCTGCCGATACCTTAGCAACAACTCCTCATCAATGTACTCCAATAGACTCCTGTTGGGAGAAATTATGAGAATTACAAAATCATTCGAAATAATTAAGACCGCTAGAGACAGAGGGAGAGAGAGAGAGAGAGAGAGAGAGAGAGAGAGCGATGGGGGGAGGGGGGGGAGAAAAGAAGAACAGGGTAATAAAAACGATGTGCATGTATATATATGCACGCGCGCCTTCGAAAACATACAAACAACAAAATAAAAAATTAACCATTAACGCAAGAAATTCATTACACTCGCAATACTCTTTAATACTTACATTAACTTTCAAACGACATTGTAATTGAAAATAAGAAGAACAAAAATTGGAATAAAAACGAAAGGAAATAGCGTAAAGTAGCAATATTGAAATTAATGGATCACTCTTCATGCTTTCACATCATGCAAATGAATAGGAAGGAATTGTGCAAAGATGCGGAATGAAATTTCTTTTTCATATCATAAACACGCAAGTAAATCTTTCGTGTAAAAGACATATGCTTTCAGGTTATATTTCCAATTAATACGTTATTTCAAACTTTACAAAGTTATTATTTAAACTTTCCTTTTTAATCATTGGTACTTTACCTGAGGCTCATACGAAAGATCTCCGTGCCAGTTTTGCTTCTGTGTTTGACTCTACTATCTGCATCACGGCTACAAAGTTCACAAATATATGTTTGTCTTGAAACCGGATACCGTTAATGTATCAATGAACAATGAATCGAATGAGATTAATTGTATATATATATGTATATATATATAGGCTTTCAGATTATTGATATATGACCGATGGATTGTTTTTACATAGGAAAATGTTTAATAGAAGAGAAACTGTGAGACTAGGGGATGTCGAATTATCGTTTATAAAGATTTAAGCAACAGATAAATGTCGAGCGTATGAAGCCTCAGCCCTTCCCAAGAAGTAAACTTTATCTCGGCAAGTTATATTTCATTTGTTAGCGATTATAAATGTTTGTTTTCTCAATAATTTAAGAGGACACTTACTTCTCTTGGCCAATTCCACAGTCTGGATGTACATCACAGTTTCGAGCAGTCTAGAATAGAAAATCATACGTTCTTGACTCAAGTTGGATGAATTTTTACAAGCACCGCTTACAGATTATCATACCTTAACGTTATTCATGATGTCTATGATATCCCATGCTGGATTATTATCGATGGAAGATGAAGTTGAATCTCTGTGCAGTGTTCCACCATCTAAATTAAATTGATCTGAGAAGAGAAAGTTTTGTCTCGACACATTACTTGACATTAATTATATTCAAAGGCTGCTTATTTACTAAGAGATTCGTCGAATGAAATAGCCATTCGACTCGTCATCGTTCTCTCGTTAAGGAATTCAAATTGCAAAAGTTCTGCTAGCTTGGGTTAGGCGTTGGAAGCTGAATTACTCACCTTCGCTGTCTAATTGTGAAACAGGGCTCTTTGGTCTTGGCTTAGCTGTGTGTCTCGATGCGATGCGCTGTGGTACATTAGGTACAGCTCCATCTTCGTCAGGCTCTAGCTCAGCGAATACGTGGCTAGGATTCGAAACCTTTTGCAGTAATTCCAAAGCGAGACGCTTGCTCATTTCGCTTTGAAAAAACGTGTGCTGCAAAATTAGAATGTATAAGCTTCGCTTGTATTATTGATTCGCCAGCTCAATCTTAATAACGTAGTCTTGCATTATTATCATACCTGTAAGAGTTTCTCCGCTGTCGGTCGCTTTTTAGGATTTTTTGTCAATGCAATTTTGACAAAATTATGAAAAGTTGGACTCCATTTATCGCGATCTTTCAATGTTGGAGGCTTAAAACCCGATTTGGACATTAAAAATAGTGCTCTCATTGGGTGAAGATCGAACATTGGTGGCTGCAGTTCGGCTAATTCTATGGACGTTATACCGATAGCCCAGATATCGCAAAGCTGATTATAACCTCCTTTTCTCTCAACGGCTGCCACCTATGTAAAAATAGCAGGTAGAGCGAAGCGACGTATTGATAACAATTGTCAGCACCAACTAAAAGATAATGATAAATAATTAACTGCCATATACCTCCGGAGCCATCCAATAAGGCGTGCCTATGAAACTTTTTCTTTTATTGATCGTCGCTGTGATTTGAGCTGACACTCCAAAGTCGGCGAGTTTAACATCACCAGACTCGGTGAGGAGAATGTTGGCTCCCTTGATGTCTCGATGCATTTTGCCCATTCCGTGTAGGTAGGCCAGGCCGAGTAGCGTCTCCCGACACATGTAAGCAATTTGAATTTCCGTTAACGGACCCGTAACTGTAAATCAAAATAAACTCTATGAACATTCCGAGAGCTCAAGACGGATTACATCGAAGCTAGCAAAACCGATTCAACAAACTGTGATAAATGTCTTGAAGGGATCCACCGCCGCAATACTCCATACATATCCATAATTTATCCCTCCTTAGGTAACTGCCGTAATAAGCAATGATATTCGGATGCCTGCAATCCTTCATCATTAAGATCTCTTGCTGTATTATCGCAAAGTCATCACCTGCGACAAAAATATCATCCAATAAAGCAGCCGATCAAATAGTCAAATACCATATTAAATTCAAGGCGATCCAACGATGCTTAATTCACTCACCAGGTTCAAGTTTAATGACCTTAATAGCAGCCAAATCGTTCATGGAAAGTCTTTTAGCCTGGGAAAAACGTAAAAGCAATTAGTTAGCATCTAAGCCATTGGGACGAAGCACCTCAACTATCTCTACATCCGACACTCTTGCCACTCTGGGGGAATCTCGCCCGCTCCGAAGGATCAACGACCGACTCGACGCAACGATGCCGTAACCGAAAACTGATCGCGACAAAACTGCATGGCCGCACAAACGCATAACTGGTACGTGGACTTCACAATGGCAAACACAACACAAACCGCTGCAAGGGCGAGCGACGATCTCTTTCGTCCGATGGACCTTAGGCGAAAAGTGATGAAGAAAATAGATTACGGGAAATGAAGGGTCGATGAAGGGATGATGAAGGGATGATGAAGGGATGATGAAGGGATGATGAAGGGATGATGAAGGGATGATGAAGGATGAAGGGAGATGATGAAGGGATGATGAAGGGATGATGAAGGGATGATGAAGGGATGGCGAAGGGGTGATTAAAGGTGACGGAAGGTGGTTGGGGGTTGTTGGTTGTATGTTTGAGAGGTTGTGTGGTTGGGGTTTTTTTTTGGGGGGGGGG